TTCTTCTTTTCTTCCTCCTTTTTCTTCCTCTTTTTCTTCTTCCTTGTTTCTTAGGTTAAGTGTTTATTTAATTTTTTTGAGAGACAGGGTCTTATTATGCAGTTCAGACTGACTTGGAAATCACTCAATAGCTAAGCCTGGCCTCCAACTTGCATCAGTCCTCCTGCCTCATCCTCTCAAGTGCTGGGATCATAGGTATGTACTACCATTCCTGTCTTGTTTTTTGCATTTTTGAGACAGAGTTTCACTCTAAAGTCCAAGCTGAACTTGTGTATGGATTTGTTAGTCTCTCAGTGTACCCTGGTGAGAAACAGCAGGAATGAGGAAAAGATAGATAAGAGATGAGAGCTGGATCAGGTGGAGGCCTGTTTGCCTGATGAACAAAGTTCCCAAACAACAACAGTATGGACATTTATTTATATTCTTGCAAAGTTAATATCAGGAAACACAAGGTTGCTGTCCAAGTAACTCTTCTCTTATTGCTAGGACAAATACCTGGCACTCAAAATTAGGGAAGGAAAGGTTTATTTATCTCACAGTTACTAGAAGTTTGAGTCCATACTTGGCTGGCTCCAAGGCAGAGTGGCACAGGGCAGAGAGCAGCCATTCATGGTGGCATTAAAGAGCAAGAGCAAAGGGAAGGGCTGCAACTCAGGTAGTTAGCTAGCCTCTTTCCCCTGATCACACAGTAATGCAAATTACTTGCCCCAGGCAGGTCTAGCACCTACACCTACAATAGTCAATCACAAAGTCCAGAATCCTCCCCATGACTACATGAGGCTTTGGGGGAGACACCTATACACAAACTATAACATTCTGCGCCTGGACCCCTAAAGACTCTTGCACATCCCTTTATGTAAAAGGCATTTTAGTCCATCTCTAAGAGTTGCCAAAATCCCAACAGTTTCAACATTGCTGAAAAGTCCAAGTCCCAAATCTCCTCCAAGACCAAAAGCAAACTCTTTGCTATGAGCCCCTGTACAAATGAACAGTTAAACACTTCCAACATTCAATGGCACAAGATAAACATTACCATTCAAAAGGTATAAACAACAGGGAACCAGAAAGCATTAGGACTAACACAAGTCCAAAATCCTGCAGGACAAACATTAGGTCCTGTATTTCCATATGGAACATACAAAGCAATCAGTGGCAAATTGTGAGCTCCCTGTGACTCCACCTCTATGACTCTGCTGTGGTAGTTCCCATGGCTTCTCTTAGGCCAGCTTTGCTTCTTGCAGTTTCCCTTAGATGATCCATGTTTTCAAACTTACAGGCTTTCCACTGAATAGGCTTCTCACTCACAGCTTTACACAGTGCCCTCCCAGGGGCACACTGCCTGGCCTCCCAGGCCTTCTGAAATCTAGGTGGAAGCCTTCTTAACCTCAGAACTCCTGCATTCTGCAAGCACCTAAAACCAATGCCACATGGATGATGCCAAGGTCTACTGCCAGCTGGAGCAGTAACCAGGCTTTTTTCTCTCTTGGCTGTCAGAGTCAAGTGCCTGGATTACTGAGCACTCTGATCCTGATTCCAAAGAATATATCCTCCATGCTGGTATCATTCTGGAACATGGGGCTCTGCAGCTTTCCACTCAAGGCAGTCTCTCATCCTTACAATTCTGAAGCTGCAAAGGATGGAGACCTGCTGCCTCCTGTGATGCCTTCAGGCCATGCCTTCCACTCCTTTGTTCCTTCTTTGTAAAGGAGATCCTCTCAGCTGTATCGTTGCATTCCACAGCTTTGTTGCACCTTCCTTTCTGGCCAAACTAACATTTTAAATCATGCTGCTGGGTGTTTTGCTCTTGATTCTCCACATAAATCTGACTAAAAGCCCCCAACAATAGCCATGCCACTGCCTCAATATTCGACTGCTTTGAGATTTCTTTTACCAGATTAATCAGTCTGCCATACTTAATCTCAGTCTCAGGCAAAGTCTCTGGAGATGAGCAAAATGCTGACAGACTTTCTGCCAAGCCATAGCTCATATCATCCAGAGTCCAACAATTAATGCAGTCCTTCTCAGCAAAAACCTCCCCAGCTTGGTCTTTTTTTTTTTTTTCATCCTCAATATTAGTAGGGATCCTGGCATTTAACAAACATCTGGACAGATCAAATAAGTAAAAAAAAAAATTCTCATGAGTCATGCATTGCCATGTTTACTTCTGACTGAACACAGGCTCTACCAATACAGCATTGTCTAAAATCTGCTTGCAAGAGCTGAGGCACGACATGGGTTCTGAAACATTGACTGAAACAGATCTCACAGGAAGTGAGCTCCACACAGAGAAGGCAGTATCCCTCTGGTCATCTAAGCAGAAGATTCAGCTTCAATATTCGGCATCAAAAGGATACTCCGCCAAACGCGACATACCAGGTATAATACAAGACCTCCAGTTTCTGTTGAAGCTGAGAATGGTCGCCATCTCCTCATCACTCAACTTGAAGTCAAAGACCTGAAAATTCTCAATAATGCCAGTTGGTGTCACAGACTTGGGGATCACTGCCACATTCCTCTGGATATGGAACCGGATCAGAACCTGGGCTGTGGTTTTTTTGTGCTTTGCAGCAATCTCCTTAATCTTGGGATCCTCTAGTAGTGAAGGGTCCTCTGGCTTGGCCCAAGGTCTGTCTGGAGAACCCAGGGGGCTGTAGGCAGTGACAGTGATGCCCTTGGAGTGGCAGTACTGGATCAGCTTTTCCTGGGTGAGGTATGGGTGACACTCCACCTGGTTTGTCACTGGTTTATATTTCAGCCCAGGCTTGTTCAAGAGCTTTTCAATCTGAAGGTGGTTGAAGTTGGAGACACCAAGGGCTTTTACCAATCCCTCATCAACCAGCTCCTCCATGACCTCCCATGCATCCAGGAATGTTATTTCACTGGAGAGGATATTGCCTTTATCATCTCTGGGGATGAGTTCCTTCCCAGCCTGAAGTCCCTGTGGAAAGTGAATGAGGTAGATGTCCAGGTAGTCCAGTTTCAGGTCCTTCAGGGTCTTCCGGCAGGCTTCCTTCACCAGGCTCCTCTCAAAGAATGTGGACCACAGCTTGCTAACAATGAAGAGGTCCTCCCGCCTCATGAGCTTCTCTTGAATCTTCTCTTGGATGGCTTCTCCCACCTCATTCTTGTTCTGATACGTGTAGGCACAGTTGATGTGGTGATACCCTGCATCGATGGCTACCTTCACGGCTTCTTTGACCTTGCCTAGGGGAGACTTCCAAGTGCCCAGGCCCACGATGGGCATCTTGGCATTGGTGCTGAGCTCCACAAAGGTAGCCATCGCTGGTGAAGAAGTGCTTGTCAGCTTGGTCTTTATAGGCAGGATTTCTATCAACCTTCTGGTCTTCTGAGCTCTGACCAGAACCTTCTATACAAAACATGCTCTTCTTTCATTGCTGGGACAGTTGCCTAATGGCTGAAAATGCTGGGAAAGATGCTTTTCTCAAGACTGACAAAGCTTGACTGCTTTAGGCTCTGTGGCCTTGTCCTGCCCTCAAACAACTGATTAATTTCCAGCTTTATCCACTCCTGACAACCTTGCACTCACTATTTAACCCAGGCTGGCCTTGAACTCACTATGTAGCTCAGGCTGGCCTTGAACTTTGGGCATTCCTATCTCAGCCTCTTGTATGCTGAGATTACAGACCTGTACCACCACACCTGGCAGAACTTCAGCAGCTTCTCCTTCCCTGATCCAAACTGAAGCCACTCCCTGTCTTCTGAATTCCCCAGCACTTATCCTCCCAGTGAGACCTCAAATCTAGGTCCTGTCTGCCCAAGCCAAGAGTAGAGTTCTAGGACCTACCAGATCACTGCACCTGCTTAGAACCTTCTTTGTGGGACACTAGTAGGTAGAGCTTGGCAGCAGGCAGGCAGGGCTGGGCCTACACAGTAGGGGCGGGGCAGGGCACAGTCCTCTGGGAGATAGAATCTGTAAAGCTAGCCATTGTAATTAGAACAGTGTCCATAAGCATTCCCCCAAGCTATTCCATGGTGACTGAATTCTGTATTCAGCCCCAGTAGTGGCAGATCCCTGCTCATCCTTGAAATGGGGCCACGACTGTGCCCATTGCTAGAAAAATGAGCTGGGCTCATCTACCAGTGTCTAGTGCCTGCCATGAAACCTTGGTGCTATTGAATGAGGCAGGCACAGTGTCAAGTGCTGTCAGGACTGATACTAAGGGAGTGGCATGTTCTTGCTGTGTCCAGGCACCATGGACTGTGCTCAGTCACAGGTTCAGGAGGCCAGGCTGTGGGTCATGCAGCCCCTCCAGATCAGTCAGCAGCCAGAGCCTTCTCCTTTCTTTCCGAACAGGCCTACTCCCTGGCCCCATTTGACATCATCAAAGTCCGTCTACAAAACCAGACAGAGTCCAGGGTGCGGCCAGGGAGCCCCCTGCCCCGGTATCAGGGGCCCATGCACTGTGCAGCCACCATCTTGCGTGAGGAGGGATTCCGGGGGCTGTTCCGAGGATCTGGGGCTCTGATGCTAAGGGACACTCCCACATTGGGATTGTACTTCATCACCTATGAAGGGCTCTGTTACCAGTACACCCCAACTGGCCAGCAACCCAGTGAGTGAAGTGGTGAGAAGGTGGGGACAGAGGTGTGTGGAGAGGGCACAGTGGAGGCTGGAGAGGGAGGCTGGGTATGGAGGGCGTTCGCTTCCGGCTCAGACCTGACCCTGGGCTTCCTCTGTCCTAGGCTCAACCACAGTGCTGGTGGCAGGGGGCTTTGCAGGCATTGCCTCCTGGATCACAGCCACACCCTTCGATGTGATCAAGGCCCGGATGCAGATGGGTGGTGTGAAGCAGAAAGCATACAAGGGGATGTTGGACTGCATTGTGACCAGCTTCCGGCAGGAGGGCCTAGGCGTCTTTTTCCGGGGCTTTACCATCAACAGTGCCCGTGCCTTTCCGGTCAACGCTGTCACCTTCCTCAGCTATGAATACCTGCTGCGCATGTGGGGATAAGCCTGGCCAGGCAAGACCAGCAACCCTGGAAACCTGAGGCTGGGCAGTTGGGGGCGAGGAGCCTTAGTGTCCATCCAGGCCCCACCCAACCCCACTGGCCTCAGCTCCTTGGCTTCCAAAGCAGCACGGGGCATAAAGGACTAGAACTGGCTGGTGGAGTAGGTGACCGCCCAGCCCTGGCCTGACCCTCTGCCCCAGGGTTTCCTGTCTCAAGCTACGTGGCCTTTGGGTTCCACAAACAACATACTTAGCTCTCAGCCTGCCTTTCAGACCTCTCCTTGTGTGGTCATCTTGGGACCCAAACTTTGTTTTCTTGTCTGGAATCCTTCTGGGGCTCCCAGTAGCTGCTTCACCACCTGGCTGTCCCTTCCCATTAGGCTTCCTTCTCCCTCAGTCACTGTGGACCTAAACTCATTGGCAACTCAGGACCCAGGCCTGCGAGCCTTCTTCCCTCTGGCCAGCAGGAGGGAGCCCACGAGGTGCCTCCACCTCTCTGGGTGACTGGGCCTCCAAGGGCCAGCCAGCCTGCCTGCATATTTTGATGTGGGTGTACTGGGAATTGAATCTAGGGCCTTTGCACTGGGATACTTTCTCACTTTTAAGTGGTTAAATTGCCAGGGCTGGGTTCCAATTTGTAATCTTTCTGCCTCAGTCTCCTGATTGCTGGGATTACAAGTGTGTGCCACCAGGCTCCATTGGAGAAGGTTCCTCTAGTTGATAAGGCTGAACAGCTGGGAATGGTGCCACAAGCCTGCATTATCAATTAAAGGAACCCTCTATTTAAAATCAAGTTTATTGGTACATTTTAGCTATCCATAATGATCACATTCATTATAGGGAATTTGTACCTGTTCATATGTCTTGATTCTTCCCCCCATTCACCTCCTCTCCCTTCAACCCCTCTTCTCCCTATTTACAAAAGCTTTGTTTTGGGGCTGGTGAGATGGCTCAGTGGTCTAAAGCACCTACTTAGAACAAGCTTAGCAAAGCACAGGG